CTCCAGGGGAAGGATACTGCGAAATCCCCATTCTCTCCCTACTCCAGGGGAAGGATACTGCAAAATCTCTTCTGTAGGTGTGGCCTGCTTTCTGGGTCTACTGGTGGAACCTCTTCTAACCGGTTCGGTAGATTTGACGAACCGGTTCTACCGAACTGGTGCGAACTGGTAGGAACCCACCTCTGACCGTCAACGTGCATTGCGTGACTAGGATCTTTATTATACCAAGGGGTTCTTGGTACTCTCTGAGCTTGATTGTTTTTTTGCAGACATTTCATTACCCAAACTAGGTAACATCAATTCTAGTAAGCAGTGGGTTTTGCTCTCAATTTATATTCTATAGTGGCTTGCCTAGTGTAGGCAGGACTGATCTTAAAGGTTCTTTGGGTGGGCCTTTACTGTTGGCTTGTTTATCTGTTTCACGATTGGGGTATTGTGTTTTCTTGACTGTTGGTCTGATGTTAATTGCGGAGTTAATCTGGGCACTGGATTGCAGGTAGAGAGATGCTTAGATCTTTTTGTTTCCCCTTTGCTTGTTGATTATCACTTGCACAGTTTATAGGCATATTGTTTGTCTATGTGTCTAGTGATGGCTAATTTGTCAGACTTCTAGAAATTCCTTAGCATTTTTGGACTTGGCTTGGTCTAAGGATGGTCACAGTTTTTCAATGGAAATCATGGTTAAGTCTCTCCATATGTTGTGAAATCGAAGAGTTTACATCATGTCTTCTGACTGCTAATTAGTGACTGCTAATCATGGATGTCTTCTGCCAGTCTTCTGTCAGTTTGTCCTACGCAGTGGTTGTTGCAGTTATTACACTGTATGTTGTAGATTAGTTGTTTTTTTCTTCTGGGGTTGCTGGATCTTTTTGTTTGCTTAGAACAGTGATGGCTAACCTTTTTTGGCTCCCGTGCTAAAAGTGGGGGGAGTGCAAGAGGGGTTGTGTGCACACAATCACACCCCCCTCCCCTTTGACACGTTTTTTTCGCTCTCCTCAGGTTCCAGAGGCTTTCTAGGAGCCAGGGGAGGGCAAATACATCCCCCCCCGGCCCCCCAGAGGCTCTCTGTAGGCTTCAGGAGCTTCCCTAAAGCTTCTCGAGGGCAAAAAACGGACCTATAGGGGACCTGGAAGTTCAGGAATGGTGACTTCTGGTTTGTCCTTAGGTTCCTTTTTCGCCCTCCAGAGAGTGAGAAATGGCCCTACGAGCAAACCGGAAATCCGTTCCTGAATTTCCCGTAGGGCCGGTTTTTCACGCTCTGGGGGCTTTGAGGAAGTCTCCATAGAGCAAAAATGGCCTCAAAAGCAGGCCGAAGTCAGCTGGTCAGCATGCACATGCTTGCTGGAGCTGACAAGGCAATGCCTCACGTGCCCTAAAAAATGGCTCCGTGTGCCATCTGTGGCATGCATGCCATAGATTCACCATCACTGGCTTAGAATGTTTCGAAGGGCTTTAGTTGGCTTGCGTGCTACGCTGATTCCATATGATTATAGAAGTCTGTTGGTGGTTTCTGAGATGTTCTTGACGTATGGTAGTGTTATCCTTTTTAGGGGTTGTTTTGGTCATGTTGTATTGGGTTAGGGTAGTAGTCAGGCACTTTTTTATAACTAGCCACTTTAACATCAGAAAAATAATCAAATAAACAATATTTTAATTCCGAAACTGTCAAACAAGCCAACAGTAAATAGCCCAACCAAAGAACTTCTAAGCTGTAGGTGTCAAACTCACAGCATCAGGTTGATGTCACGTGATGTATAGCGATGTTTTTTCCCTTTGTGAAGCTGGAGTGGATGTGGCCTGTACGCAGGCCTCCAGTTTGACACCCCTGCTCTAAGACAACTCCCATTAATACTGACAAGGAAAGACACTAGAAAATAAATTGAGAGCAAACCCAATTCCCTTCTAGCACATATGATGTTAAGGATGGGTAATAAAATATCTGCAAGAAAACAACTCAGCTCATAGAGCACCAAGGACCCCTCATTTCAACTCTGAACTACAAATATTCTTCTTTATTATATTACCTGCAGATTCTGTAGAGCCAGATTTTCTCTCGTACTTCCTCCATGCACTTGATACTGAGGAGATCGTCTCATCACTGTACTGAAAATCCCCAAAATGGCTTTTACTGCACCATCTATATTTATGTTGATATGATAGCTGGGGAAAGAAATACTGCCTATGTAATTGTGTCTAAACTAGTACTAATAACAAATAAAGCATGCACAACAAGTTAATAAAGAAAAGATATAATTTGAAACTCAATCATGCTTTCCTGTTTAAGCATTATGCAATTCTTTGGGTGGCACAGTGGTTAAAGTGTGGTATTGCAGGCAAGCTCTGCCTACAACCTGGAGTTTGATCCTGACACGACTCAAAGTTGATTCAGCCTTCCATCCTTACATGAGCAGTAAAATGAGGACCTAGATTATTGGGGGCAATATGCAAATAATGCTTCAACATTGTAACTGCCCAGAAAGTCCTGTAAAGCGCTAAGGGGCAGCATATAAGGTTAAATGCTATTGCCATTAAGCATTATGCATTAGACACAATGCCAGCTGGATAACCTTGGCTAGAAGGAGGCAATGGCAAAGCACTTGCCAAGAAAACTTCAGGGACTTGTCCAAGTAGTTGTTAATCAAAAAGCTGACATTAAGTCATGCACACGATTAAAACATTTTTAACTTTCACTTCACAAATATGGCTCTCAGCTTTTAAAGCTAATACTAACTCTAGTTAGGCAAATGCTGGCCAACTGCATTTTTTCTGTAAAATAGAAAATGTGTTTGTGAAAATGTGTGCACAAAAGTGAAAAATATTTCTCTATAGCAAAAAAAATATTTTATTAGTAGGAATGAGGAGAGTAGTAATTCAGAACAGTTTTGATTAGATGGATTGTTGCTCTGATCTGGGGAAAAAAAACCTTCTACTTCAAATGTGATAAGCAACATTTCATAGGGTGTCATTTCTAGACCTTACCTTAAATTTAGGCCAGGGGTGTCAAATTCAAGGCCTGTGGGCCAGATCAAGCCTGTGGGGCACTTAGATCTGGCCCACGGGACTAACCTGGAAAAAGTGAAGGATCAGTCCGTGGTGCCTCTGCCAGTGAAAATGGAGCTCCGTTTTCACTGGCAAAGGGTTGCAGAAGGCTATCATAGCAGAGTTATCACTAGCAGAGCGCTCAGGCTACCACAGGTGCCCCCAACATGAATGACATCGAGCTGGCCATGCCCATCCCAGCCCCTTAATGTCAAACACAACCCTAATGCGGCCCTCAATGAAACTGAGCTTAACACCCCTGATTTAGGCCATGAACAAAAGAGCAGGTGGAATGGACTAAAAGAAGTTCAGTAGTTGTAGTGTAGTTGGGTTGGTTCAAAAGACCTTTTTTTTAAAAAACCTGGATGTTGTGAAAGAACATGTAACCCAGCGTCCTCAAGTTTTTATCCAAAGAGCCTAAAGATATTCTATCATTAGTACATCTATCCACATCCAGCATACATGCCAAAACTTTTTTCTGCCACAGTTTTTGTTGACAGTAAAATGGAATGATAATATATTTATCTGAATACGCAAAAATGCTTTTCCATCTCCTCTTATATGGAAAATCTGTCACTCAGGAAGACTTTTTTTTCTTTTAAACAAGTAAATGTTGAAAAACACTGTTTATGCACCAAAGGGGGAAAAATGGAATTGGTTAATGAGGAAAATGTTTTAAGTCATAAGAAAGCCTACACCAAACCTGAAATGCAGACTAACACTTTTAAGCCATGCTCCTTTTTTCTTTCAAATATTGTTCCTGGTGACTGCTGATACATTTTATTACTCAATAGAGGTGTAACGTTGCATTCAAGGATTTTTACTACAATTATTATACCAGATTGGGGCTGGAATGCACTTTTATATAATTTAACTATATAATATATAAATAAAATTTAACTATTCAATGTTAATTTTTATACCTGCCTATTTCTTTAGCCAAAGACTTGGCTCTGTCATAAGTATCCTGAGAAGAATTCTCACTAGCCATGTAGCAAGTTGTTAAAAGACGGCCACACAGCTCCTGGGCTTCCTTTGGTACGTACATTTCATCATTTACAATTCTGCGAACGTCATCCAAAACTGTCTGATCTGGAGAAAAAACAAGAGTGTAGGAAAAAGAGGAATGTAAACAAAACATTTTTTTTTCACATTTGCATTTAGAACACAAAATTGAAAACCATTTATTTCAATTCATAAAATAAAACCCTGTATTAAATAAAACTCTTTAATTTAAGTCTGTTTAAGTTTACAGACCAACACACATATACATTTACTTCTATTCTGAACAAGTAACCTAATCATGTTGTGTCAGAAGAAAGCAACAATTGTTAAGTGTGAAAAATGGTCATAGCAATAGCAATAGCAGTGGTTATGGTGCAGTACTGTAGGCCACTTCAGCTGACTGTTATCTGCAGTTCAGCGGTTCTAATCTCACCGGCTCAAGGTTGACTTAGCCTTCCATCCTTCCGAGGTGGGTGAAANTGGGGAATTCTGGGAGTTGAAGTCCAGACATCTTCAAGTGGCCAAGGTTGGGAAACACTGCTCTAGCGCCTCTGACGCACAGACTGAACTAAATGACTCGCGGTTGAAAAATGATTTGATCAATTGCTGTGCATTGCCTACTTCCGGCTCTTATTGAAGTGCCCTGGCTGGCGCGGCAAATGGGATGGAGAAAGCAAGAGATCAACTTTAGAGACAAGGCAGTAACAGAACTCCCAGGATCCCGCGTAGATTCCTCTGTAGTTCCCCCGAAATGGAAAATAACAGAGTCGTACCCTGCATGTGTACCCATTGCATTACGTTTGACACTCGCAGTCAGTTTAGAACCGGAAGTATTAACTAAATCTGCGCTTAAAAAAAAAGATGGATTTAGATCGCCGAGTTGATGGCAGGGATCTCTTCACACCAAGTTGTGCCTGGTTTTTGTGACACATTGATCAGAAGTATATTTGCTGTGTGCAGTTATCGATGTTTTGATATCTATACACTTAGTATAATGATATAAGAAAATTGGGGATAATTCCTTTCTACAGATCTAATTTGTAACTGACCTCTGACCAGGCATATCAGTGGAGCATAGCTATCTCTTACAGCAACCGGGGTTATATTTTCGTGCCCTTCTTTTCTTCTGTCTATCTTTTCTACTGAAGAAACACATAGATTGAAATGTGAGAATAACACTTTACTGCATCTTATAAAGAGGGGTCTGAGCTACCTAAAACTACACCATGAACTGTTAATCAATCAAGACATCTTCCTTAGCAACAAATTATTTCAAAATTTGTCAAAATTACATAGCATATAAACAATAATGACTATATTAATTCTATTGAATATAAGCAACATGTTACTCTGAACAAGTTACCGTAGTCAAATATAATGTGAAAATATATGTCATCAATACTATTTTTCCATTAGAAGTTAAGATACATAAGTGAATTTAATAAATCTTTAAAATAGTGATTAAATAAGGCCAGCTTTTGCATATATTTAACCTGTTAGAGTGGCTTGTTTATTTTATGCAAAATAATAATACATATTCATGAAGTTAAATTCTTGAAAAGTGAGTTAGCAGATCAAAATGGAACAATCCCAATCTTTTCCTATATTTAGCAATGTGATATTGTTGGGAGCAAATATTAGATGGTCATTCCATCACATAATCATGAAAAATAATACAGACAATTTGTAATTTTATAAAACAAACTGCTTTCCCTGATATTGGTAATATTTTATGTTTCGTCTTTCCCTGGGGAGAAAATCACCAGACTGTTCTTAAATAATTATCTCTATTCATCCCTGTCAGACAGATGCCTCAGCCTGATTTTGATAAAAGCCCAACGTAGCTTTTAAAGCAGTGTGTTATAACTGATGTGCATAAAATTATAGATGGACAAATACCTATTCTAAGACCATGTCTATTTGCTTAGTTTCTACAGACTTTAGAAAGATATTCCTCTGTGTGTGTATATAGATAGATAGAGAGAGATAGAGAGATAGAGAGAGAGATAAGAGAGAGAGAGAGAGAGAGAGAGAGAGAGAGAGAGAGAGAGAGAGAGAGAG